GTCAGTTTTATAAAATTTTACCGTTATTCAAATAAAAGTTACCCACACGCACGACAATGGCCACAGTTGCATATACATTCCAAAGTCACCTTCAAGCACGCTTACCTGTGGAAGGATAGCTGATGTGGATGTTTATAATCCAATTTCTTACAAATTCTGCACTGTCTAACCATATTCACACCTTAAAAGTTTATCCAAAATACATGTATAAACACTAATCACGTTTCACTTACTAAAATCACAACTATTTTCTAATAAGAGACGCCATATTTTGCCAACCACGGCAGAACGAACGAGGAACACGCTACAAATTATTGCTTAGTTGCCAAGTATTCAAACATGGCAAATATGAAAAATGAAAAATAGTTTAATATGTGCAGAATTTAACAATATTGTATGCATAACTTAATAATACTATCCTATAATAATAATTTTCATTGTGATGAAAATTGTGATAAAAATATTACGTACATTTCCAGTATAATTATATAGCTGACAACAATGATACAATTAGACTGTGAATAGACCAGGCTTCATCTAGGAATGTAAATAAATAAGTCCCCTTTATTTAAATGTCCTTGGTCTATCTCCTCAAGCTTACTTTGAGAAAAGTCACTTATTTATAGTGTAATATTGTAAGTTTAATTAAAAGCCTTTTTTCTCGAAAATCGTCCACATTAGGAAGTTCTAACAAGAGTATTTTTTTATAATTTGCGGACATTAAATTGTCGGACACTTATATCACTATTTTGTACAGTAAATTTAAAAGTGGAAAAAATGAAAATTAGATACGTGGTAATCGATTTTTCATACCCCGTGAAAATTCCGATTTCCAGCTGTCGGACTGAAAAAACGCGGCTTGAAATTTGTCGGACAACAATACTTTTTGTCTGACTTGACTTGACTTGACTTTTTGTAATTATTTACAATTAATTTTACTAAAAATTACCTATATGGTAATTGATTTTCAATACCCTGTTATTTTGGCATGTTTCGACCGGTAGACACGTCAATGTCGGAAGAATTTCTGTCGGACAAATTTAAATCGGCATTTGCAAAAAAATTTCCAGTTACTTAAGCTAAAAATAAAAGATGTGGTCTTGAGTTTTCAAGACCCCGGAAAATTGCCATGTTTTTGGACTTTTCCGAGTGGAAAAGCGGAGGAATCGAGAAAAGTCGCAGAGGAAAAATGTGGTAGACTCGTCAAAACGAAGCTCCTCAGGAGTTATAAAGTATGTGGTAATCAACTTTCCAGAGGGGGCCTGTACTGTGAACTATAAGGGATAGCCACTATTGTCAGTCATAAAATGCCAGTCTAAAAATAATAACTCCAACTAGTATTCTGTATGTTTTTCTAATGGTCCAGTTAAAATAATTTTATTAGCCATACGTTAACTTCTCAGTGTTAGTAAGGTAAAAGCATAGAATATATTTATATTTTTCTTTGGGTAAAAGACGTCAATTTGTGATAATATAACCTCGATTGCTGGATTGGTACAAATAAAGTAAATAATTTATAAAATTCTTGTGATTTAGCCGATTTTTGACAAGTCGTTTTATATGGCCAATTGTCAAATTTGAAAGATAAAGCTGACCGACTTTTTGATTATTTTCTAATGAACACTGTTAAAATCTTGTGTCAGTTAATACGGTTTTTCTTGAAAACCATAAAGTTTTTTAAAATTTAACAACAGTAAAAAAAATTTAAAATTAAATTCTGCTGTGTTTGGTTAAATTACAATATTTTGGACACCCCTACATGCACATGCACTGTGTCAGTTCTTATACAGGGCACCCTGTATTTTTAAAATAGGTAAAAAATACATACTATTGAAATATGATTATTTTTTTACTGTTGAAGTATCAAATTCGCATTTGTGTTTCCATACAGTAACAATGGAGACATCACATTACGAGTTTATTGAAATTTGACTTAATAATTATAAATATGGTGTTAAAGATAGAACCATAGAATTTTACGTCACTGTAATTGTAAGAAAAAGTGGTAATTTGGCAACAATGCAATTGCTCTCGTTAAACAGACCAGGATATCTTTTCACATAAATAAAAAAATCCCTATGAAAGTTGCAGAGGGGGTATGCCTTAAAAAAACTTTATTTTTCTTAATAAAATATGTGCAACTGCAACATAATTATTTTTAGCATCTCTAACACCAGATAATCTATCTTATCTGCCCACAACAGATGTAGTGGATGGAACACCTCTACAAGACACTTTGACACTACTTTACATACTAGTCGAAAAAGTGACTTATGGTGTGGATATTGCCTACAAGATATTCATGATGTACCGCATAAGCTTGAATATAGAAATACCGTATCACGTGATCGTGTCCAACACTGATTATATGAAAATGCTAAAAGATGCATTGGAGGATGACTGCATGCATAAGTTGGATGTTGTTCATGATTTCATAAGGGGTTACCAGTGGTCCAAGGATGCGGTAAATATTACTGAATAATATGTGAAAAAAATTAAATTTTTCAAATTAAATGCCATAATATTGCTATTTCAAAATCTGACAGAGATAGAAAGACGATTAAATTGGACCAGTCGCATAAAATGGGTTTTTCGATTTTAATTTTATCATTTCCGGGTGTACTTGACAAACTTAAAAACTTGGTTTTTAATGTCTGTTAAGGACCATTATAAATTTAATTAAAAAAAAAACTACCAGGATTGTGAATTAATTTTGAAGGATTTTTTTGTAACTTTCCATTGCAAGCCACTACTTTTTCCCATCTTTCTGACAGGATACGAATTCCGTGTTGAAAAAACAACTTACATTTTGATGCTATCCACTAATCAATCTAGTAATCAAGTAGTAATCCAATGGAGCAATATCTGGTGAATAAGGCGGGTGGGGTAACATCCCATTTCAGCATTTTTAAATATTTTTTGACTTCATGAGCAACATGGTCAAGCGTCATGTTGAAAAATTATTTTATCATGCCCTTGCTCCAATTGCAGCCATTTTTCGTTCTAGTAGCTGTGTTCATTAGCTTTCACTAGTTATGGTTTCATTCGGTTGAAGCAGTTCATATTACACAACACCAAGCTGGTCCCATCAAATGCAGAGCATGAGCTGCGAACCATGAATATTGGACCTTACCATCAATGTTGTTGCATGACCAGGCAAACCCCATGATTTTCTACGCTTAGGATTGTAATAGCATATCCATTTTTTATCGCCAGTGATGATATGATGCAAAAAACCCTTTCTTTTTTGCCATTGAACCAATTGTTCACACGTGAAAAATCACCATTCAAAATCTCTCAGCTTCAATTCGCATGGCACCTAATTTCCTTGCTTTTGATTCATACTGAGTGCATTTAAACGTTTGATTCAAACATTTTATACTTTAGTGAGATTAACATTCAACGATTTAGCAAGTTCATATTGCGTTTGACGTGAATCGTGGTTGAGTAATGCTTCCTATTCCTCATTTTCGAACTTTTTTGGTTGACGAGAGGGTTCTTTGTTAACTGTATCCAACACTACTTCTAAAACGTCGAAACTTATACTCACATGTTTTTATCGATGGAGTATGCTCACCATAAGTTTCCAAAAGCACTTGATGACTCTCAGCTGCACTTTTCTTTGAATTAATCAGAAAAAGTAAAACTTCTTGAAAATGGTGTTTTGTTGACTCGTAATTCAACATCTTCGGAGCTGAGAAAAAATCTGTTGTTAATATTTCAGCAAAATGACACATAATTAAAAGTAAAGCCTAATGACAGAGCTGTGACATGAATGTAGTTACAGAAATGTCCGATGCAATATATCATAAGTTATGCCGTACAAATGTAAATCCCTCAAAATTAACTCACAGTCCTGATAACATTTTTATTCTGTTGGATACATTAGGCTCTTCCAAATTTAATCATCATATCATATGAAGACCATGGGAAAAACGCTGAAAGTTAATGTGCATGTAAAAAGTAGAAAAATCGGCGGTCTAAGGATACTTTTATCGTTTTCACCGATAAATAATTACCTGTTGACAAAAATTTTGATTTAAAATTTAAATTGTATGATTTTCGTTTTAAACTTTAAAATTCCTTTTCCAACAAATGAAATAAAAGTAACATTTGTTTTTGCTGTGTAGCCTTCATATGCTATTTATTGTTTTACTGATATGCAGCTTTTATTCATGCTGATAACTTTTCTTGCCCCAAACGTAACCAAATAATGAAAATGATGCATCAATGGGCTTGGAGAGCATGAGGAATTTAGTGGTGTGAAAGCATTGATAGATTTGTATTTAAAAAATTTAACCCATCATGGTAGTTAAAAACAATATGTTTTACTGAATATTTAATTCCATATTTGTATATAAAAGAGAAAAATGGTATTATGAAAGTGTTTTCTGTTCATATAGCTCGGAAAATAATAAAATCAAAATCCAAAAATCCAAAACACTTAAATATTTTCTGTGTTATCATTGATTAGCAAATTAGTCAACTTTGTTCCACTTAACCATTTCTCTGTTTTACATCCTGTATACAGTCAGTATATTGCATTTGGAATGTATGAAAAACCTACGAGCTAGTTTCAGTTGCTCTATAATTTTATTGTTTATGAGAACTTCTCATTGTTTTAAATGTATTAAATTACAGATAACAGATTTTATCTGTGAAGAAATAGTGAATAGCGCCTTGAAATATGTCAAATCCAAATCGGACGAATTCCTAATGTGGAACTTGAAAATGGACCAAGAGTTTCACCTCATCCTTCAGCTGCTTCAGGACAACTGCTCTCTCCTCGGCAACAAGATTTATTCATATGCTAGCGCCACCCACAAAGTGCAAGTCTCCGCCAATCTTGATTTCAAAATAAGTGAACTAGCACTCGTAACAGAACTTCTGATCACTGCCCATGATTGCTTCACTGCAGATTGTAATATGGAGGGCATATCACTTATTCTAAAGACCTGTCGAGGTGTTATTTCACACCTACTGATGCTGCGTAGCTGGAAGTTGATAGTGAGATTGCTTACGGGAGTTGGACGCTATATAGAGATGAGCTATGTGTTTGACATACTGAGAGAAAACGACCAGTTTGAATTTTTGCTAAGAAAAGGTTCCCGAAAAGATAATGCTCTGAAAGTAGCGCTGTTGGATTACCTTAAGAAGTACTGTCCAGATAACAGAGATTTGTACAAAATCGTGGCATTACACTTTGCCCTATTTTCCGAAGTGGCACTATTGTGGGAAAGGGAAGCCCAAGGCATTATAAGGAATCTGATCGCCATATCTAAATTGGAGATGCAGAATAATAGGTTGAATCCAGACACTCAGCCCTATGTGCTTTTTACTAATACCGATGGAACAAAATTATGCTTGAATAAGGTAAGTGATTTATAACAAGAATTCATCGTTCATGTTACAATTCAAGGGGTTGTTCCTAATATTATTATAGGCGAAAAAACCCAATACCCATACCTATAGTTACTACTCATTTTCAATATTGAGAATAATTCTTACGTCTCAAATATGATTATTTCGGTCCTACTTCAATTACTCTGGTTTTACTGTACTTCAGTCACTTACTAATAAAATAGAATTTTCTGTTTCTTAAGGGGAAATAAACGCGTAAAAAGCAGGAAACAGCGGGTGAATTTTAAGAATTATTATCTCAAAAACTAACTATTCGATTTTATCCAGGTTTGTTTTATTTGAAAGTATACATGTTGTTCTATACTGACAAATTTCTTTATAAATATGTATCGACTGGGAGCCCTGCTGTCGTGGCTTGAGTAAAAAATGTCTCTCGCTCGCACGGTCTGCGATTTCCAAGATTATATGCAGTTGGTTGATCTGAAACAAAAGTTTCAAAAAGGTTCCCAAAATGTAATGTATGATGCCCTTCGCAACATAGGAATTTAAAAAAAAATCACGAAATGGCGGCAGATTGAAATTTAGATTCATTTTTCAATCTTAATTTATGACCTTTCTGGCTTCATAAAAGAAAAAATAATTAAGTGAAAAAAATCCTATTTTTTGAAAGAGAAAACCTGTTCGAAAAAAGTTGTCAAATTTTGGAAGTAATCGGTCGAGCTGTCTTTTAAATATTTTGGGAGCCGTCTTTGAATAGTATGTTTGAGTATAGTATGTTTGAGATGAGCAAAAATTTGAAATAACATTTTTTTCTATTCGGGTATTCCCCTTGTAATTTATATTTGTGATCTATCGCCAACTAGAAATTCTATTTTAAAAAATTTCAACACACTTTAAAGCCTGGCTAATGCAGAAACAAACTGAAGTGTTAATTTCTTTTATTGTTTTATATTTCATTTTGGACTTTATTTGATTGAATAGATAACCCTTATTTTATTACTTTCCTATTCTGTTGACAAACCTTGTACATTGAATTTTTTGCTAACAATTCATTTCCACAGAAACAAAAATAGGATATCCGATTTCCAGTTGATTAATAATTGTGTGACATTTAACGTTAAAATTGTTTCATGTATATTTTTAAATAAGTTCTCTAAAAAATTATTTAGTCAAGAAAGGAGTAAAAGCTATATGGTTCTTACATAAGTCCAATGGGGTCTTGCCGCCATTTCAGATATTAACAGAAAATTAAATAATGTACCCTGTATAATTTTATATTTGTCTAAAGTCATCATTTGATTTTCAGTTTAAAAACATATAGAACTAAAGTGAATTTGGCACACTGCGACGTGCTAAACCACAACTTAATTATGCCATTTATGAGTATTAATAGATTCAACTAAAATCTCATCACTGTCTCTTATTTTATTTATTAATCATGGGATAGAGAGGAGTTAGTTAAATAAGAAGTTTTCTACAATAATATATCCAGTCTAGTATGTCACAAGTATTAACTTATAATGGCATACAGTTCGAATTAAAATTTTTGTAATCAAATAAAAATTTATATGAGGGGTGTTTAATCTTGAAATCTATTAACTTTAGACATTTCTTTATATTAAACTTCAAACACTTTAGACACTTCTTCTTTTCTGTTGAGGAAGAGAAAGAAGTTAAGATTTTTTTGATAGGTAATTGCATTCAGGGTGGCTCAAAGAAGGACCCCTGTACTGTCTTTATGAATATGTGGGTTCAGTCAAATTGGCTGAAATTATGGCAAATTGTTGATTTTCTGTTACTGACCAAAAGTCTACAGTACTTATTTCCAAAAATCAATTATTTCCTACTTATAGTGGGCTGAGTCAGTTCTGCTGATGATGGCTGCAAAGTGCTATGAGTAGAATATTGCAATAAAAACTAACTTCTGTGAAATGTTTATAGAAAAAATTAATAGGATGACTTCGAAAAGTTGCTAATTAACATTTTTGACATGTACCAAATACCAAACTGGCTGCATTGGCCGTTGGCAACAGTAGATTATACAAGATGTCCCATTTTAATTAAGGCATTGTAATATCTTCTTAGGGAAGCACTTTCAAGAAAAACTTTTTAGGCATTTTAAAGATACTTAAAAGAAAAACAAAAATTTTAATCAAGAATGCCTTTTTCTCGTAAAATGAACAATAAACATGTTTTACTGTCCGTTTCTATCAAAGTAGGCCGATTCATACACAAATTGAAATTATGATATAAATTCCAAATTCTAAGCAACTTTTCTTAATAACATATTTCTGTATTGTTAAAAACAAAGGCAGTTTATTGTTGAACAATTTTTATATTTACCGATTTTCTGATCACCCTGTACATGCAAGATGAAAGTTCTCCATGCCAATCGCATTTTGAAGACAAGCAAAAAGTTTAATCAAGAATGCTTTTTTCAATGGGATCATATGATGATAACCTTGATCATGACCTATAAGTCAAACCTGAAAGTTCTTTGAAGGTCAAATCAAGTTACGAAATAGGAGAACCTTGTTTGCAGCCCCATTAAGTTAAGGCAAGATCATTATGGTCCAGCCAGTCAAAGCAAGATCGCTATAACCCAACCAGTCAAAGCAAGATCACTTTAACCCAACCAGTCAAGGCAAGATCGTTTTGACCCGGCCAATTGGTCAGGGTCAAGGTCACCATCGAATGTCCCCTTTAGAACTTTACAACTTTTGTCTAAAAAGTTTTTCTTGAAAGTGCTTCCCTAAGAAGATATTGCAATTAATCATTTAAAATGGGATACTTTGTATAAACGGCCAATGTGGCCACTTTGGTATTTGACACATGTCAAAAATATTAATTAGCAACGTTTCGAAGTCATCCAATTAATTTTTCCTATAAACATTTCACAGAAGTTACTGTTTTTATTGCAATATTTTACTCATACTACTTTGCAACCATCATCAGCATAACTGACCTAGATCGCTATAAGTAGGAAAAAATTGATTTTTGGACCCAATTACTGTGGAGACTTGTCAGTATCACAAACCCAACAACTTACCACAATTTCAGCTAATATGACCATGCCCCAATTTTCATAAAGATAGTCCTTTATAATAATTGTTTATTTACAAAAATAGTGATGTTACATGGCACCCTGTAGATGTCGGATCAAAAGTAAGGACGAATTCTTATTTCTCATAAATTCTCCAACAATAAAGAAAAATTTTAAACAAAATAGTTACGTTGACACCTTATATCTTTTTAGCAACAGCATGTGGACTAAAGTATATTTGGCTCAATCGACATATTTTGGTCTCTAGTTTCAAGATGTCCCGTGTGCGCTCCTTTATTTTTGGCATTAAACGTGGCCTCGATAATTTGGGACCGAGGGGGACTATCCCTCTTTGTCCTGCCTTATCTTTGTAGGCCTGGGCAGCCTCATGAAGGTGGGCCCCATCCAATCGTCTATCCCGACCACAAACATGGCCCGTGTAGGCACTTTGCGGGACCTCCTCTTGCCCTGGCTGGCCCCCGCTGGCAGGGGAGCCTCTTCTAGTGCTCTTCGTGTCTTGATTTATCTTTCTTCACCGGCTTGTCTAACCCCTTGGGGGGGTAGTCGTCGTGTGGAGTGGGTTTTTGGGAATAGCCTTGTAGCTAGGGAATGCCTTTCAGTCGGTAACTCGCAGGCCGGTGCGTGGTTAGGAAATCCTGAACCTAACCTGCTCACGATGTTCCAACATCTTGATGACACCTTGTACAGGGTGTTCCATAAGTAGCTGTAGAACCACTCAAAATAAGCCACATTAGGCTAATTCAACTTTATCCAAAATCGTTTCGTTTGGTTCCAGGTGGTCCCAAAGTTTCTGAAAAATGTTTGAATTATTTTATTAAGTAATATACAGGGTGTATTTAAATGGAGGGGCACAAATGATACCAGAGATTCCTTGGGTGAAAATAAGTCAATGTAACCTAACATACCTATATCCCAAGTCGCATAATAAAAAAGATACAGGGTGTCAAAGTGAAAAATAAAAAATTGTTTTTCCTTAATAATTTCTATAATTTCAGTCAGAAATGTTTCAAATTTTCAACAGAGAGATTTTTTAATGATGGGAAAAATAATATAATAATGATTTTTGAGTGTCGAATACGAGGCGCCCTCTGCTGGCAACGTTATGCATTAAATACGTAGTAACTTTTTTGCCAACCCCCGTATATAGCTTTTAGTAACAAAATATGAAATATTGGACTTTTTTGAACAAAAAAGGTATACTTATTGAAAATGACTAAAGCCAACCGTTTAGGAGATATTTTTAACTTAATAAATTAGTGTTACGGATTTATACCTCCACGAATACCAAGGTATAAACAGACACTTTTGTTAATAAATTCAGAACGCATTGCCTCACAGTAATTATTAGTTGTGTTCTGTATTTTAAAATTCGACCAAAAGGGGGCGCAGAAATCAACTGAGACATTATTTTTCTTGTTTTAACTTTATTTTACTATTTTTGCGTACCTATTATTTTAGCGTGTGTGAATACACTTGTTGCATAATTTCTATTTAATTGTTTTTTCGGTGTCTTTATTAAAAAACACATTTTCTTGTGTATGTGAAATTATTTAAACTCTGAGTTAAAGAAAACAACTAAAACAAGCAAAACAACTAAAACCAAGAGTCACTACTTAACAGTCAATACCTAGATAATTTAAGAGAAATATGTAATTGGCTGGCAATAAAAAAATTTTTAAAGGATATTTTCGAAGTCATTTCCATTTTCCTGCAAGGATAGTCTAATTCTACGATTAGAATTACGGCGAACTCTTGAAAAAATATGTATGTCATTCTTTACTTCCTCAGCTGCTGCAAAAATTCTCCACACTATCAATAGGGTTGGAATAAACAACATTTTTAAGTGACCCCATAAAAATAGTCCATGGGTGTGAGATCCGGTAATCGCACAGGCCATTTGACTGGTGCATCGTTCCCTCGACCTATCGATCTCTCAGGAAAATTTAAA